TCAGTGCGAGATGTGAGTCATGAGCTACCCAGGGTGTCTATCTCAATGCGTTAACCTTTCACAGTTATGACAATTGTAATGTACGCTTTTTAAATGCAACCTTCTGGTTAGTTCGATGAGCCAATTGCAGGCCAAACATGTCGAGGTTGAAAAGTAGTATTTATCAATTTTACCTCACTAAGGAACTGAAACATGAACATCTCTCTACCTCACTTTCCCTCTATCCTTTCTCTATTCTTTTTTTCTGTTCTTTTTTCTTCTTTCTTTCTATTTTCTCCTTCTTTTCGCTCTCTCTCGCCTTTATCTCTGATTTCGTGCTCACTCCTTTATCTATCTCTTCTATTCTGTCTCTTTTCTTTTCCGTTCCACTCTCTCTCTCTCTCGCTTTTCTTTATCTCTTCTCTCTCTTCCCTCTCCATCACACTTCTCTCACGCTTCTCTCTCCTCTTCTCTATCACTCCTCTTTCTCTCTCTTCTCTATCACTCCTCTTTCTCTCACTGTTTTCTCACTTCTTTCTCTCTCGCTGTTTTCTCTCTCTTCCTTCTTTCTCTCTCGCTGTTTTCTCTCACTCTATTCTCCCTCTCTCGCTGTTTTCTCTCACTCTCTTCGCTCTTTGTCTCTCGCTGTTTTCTCTCACTCTCTTCGCTCTTTGTCTCTCGCTGTTTTCTCTCACTCTCTTCGCTCTTTGTCTCTCGCTGTTTTCTCTCACTCTCTTCGCTCTTTGTCTCTCGCTGTTTTCTCTCACTCTCTTCGCTCTTTGTCTCTCGCTGTTTTCTCTCACTCTCTTCGCTCTTTGTCTCTCGCTGTTTTCTCTCACTCTCTTCGCTCTTTGTCTCTCGCTGTTTTCTCTCACTCTCTTCTTTCTCTCTCGCTTCCTCCTCTTTTTCTTTTACTTTTTCGACCTCTTTCTTCCTCCGCTTTCTCTCCCCCCCCCCGCCACACACACACTTTCTTCTCCTCCTTCATCGTTTCTTTTGGATACTTTGTTTTTAATGTTTGGGTTAACATAATTATAAAGATTTTAAAATACCAATTGTTGCGTTCTTGCATATGAATCAAAGTACGTACATACAAACACATATACAGGCGCTCACCTATCTATACACACACACACACACACACACACACACATAAATGAGAATAATAACAATAATGGCCGCCTGTTTTCGATTACACTCATCTACTAGGCTGATCAGATAATCCCTGTTGCAGTCGCTTTCTCAGGCACATTTGTATTTTTTAACAGCCACAGAACCAAATTGCCGTTTATAGTGTATCTATCTTGAGTAAACCTTTATTTACATATTTTGGGAGAGTCTACACAGTCTAGTGCGATCAGTATTTAAACAAGGCCAGTCGGCTCAATGACTCGGTCACGATGACTTGTGATTTTATGCTCGCACGAGCATCGATGCTTTCCAAATGTGCCTGTCTACTCGATTTCACGCAGAAAGCTAGGTTGTAGCAGTTTTGTGCTTTGCAGACACTTTCAAATGCGTGTTTGACCACATATATTAATCAACGAACATTGAAAAAGTTTACGTAAGGTGTGATAAAGTTCTTATATTCTTAGCTTCGTTTGGCACATGGCCACATCTTTGGAGCATCCAGTGAGCATCGAGCATCCGCAGGGATTCTTTTTTTTATATTTTTAAGCCTACTCAATTTATTAATTAACACTTTAAATGATTTTCTATTGCCCGCCTTTTATTAAGACCATCCGTTTTCTTGCATACTGATAAAAATTCCGAACCTACATTTATTAAGAACTCCATCCGTGTATTTTGACAACTGAGCTTAAAATAGTTTATTTTAAGCTCAGTTGTACATTTTATTCCATTTGTATATGCTAAATTTTGTCTCAATCCTTAATTTTAATGGCTATACACCTACGCAAATATTAAATTTACATTTAAGTGAAAGAAATTTTAATAATTTTGATAAGCAAGGTTCCTTTTTTCATTTCCGGATTTTACTTAAAATAATTTTGAAAAGGAAAATGCTTGTCAAGGTTGGCGTCAGAAGTTCATCCGTTTTACACTCCACTCCCTACCTGCACCAGGATTTCTTTTCAATTACGCGCCAAAAATTCCCGCCATATGAACGCACCTCTTTTCCGGTACGCATGTAACCATTCCTAACACTTGATTCCATCCGTGATTTATTAAACATGACATTTCTTTCCAGAACTTTGGAATATGTCTTGTTTTCGCTAAGCTGATTTTACTTATTGTTACACTTTTCAAATAAAGAATATTACGTTGACGTTTTTATCTCCTCCTGTCCTGTTAGCATCACAAGAAAGTATGACCAAGTATTTATTTCACTGTTACAAATATGAGTTTGCTCTTAGAATCAAGGTGCAGAGTTTTCAAATGAGTAATAAAAACTGCTTAAATATAAAATACAACCTTATGCAAATTAAGTGAAATAACTGCTTTAGTTTCCTTTCTTTCACCATACGGTCAATTTTAAACCCACTGGAGTGACAGGGTGTAATTGATTTCTATTTTTCCTCAGATTAGGTCATTTGCAGTGGTGTGCAATAATATGAATTATTTTAGGGATGTATGATGAAATTTGTTTGGCCTTGAAAAATATTGCATCATCCGTGATTGCATCAGATTTTCATTACGCCCAGACACTATTGTCCTGACAGTCGATTAGTTGTCCAGCGGCCATTGTCTGCGATGGACATTTCTCCAGGTGGGGGGCGTATGAAAATTGTAACGCTGCACAAACACAATGGCAAGCCTTACCAATGAGCAAATCAAAGTACAGAAACTCTCCTGATTTCAGTCCAATCGAGAATCTGTGGTCAATCTGCAAGGAACGACTTCCTGGAATGGACATACGAAATACTAACATGTGCACTGGGTCATGTTTAACTGGAAAAATAAATAATAAATTATTCGTTTTGTTTTCATTAATTTGCACAAGGGTATATATATATATATATATATATATATATATATATATATATAATACTTACTGCTTAAACATAAAATGAAATATCAAGAAAGATTGTGTTGCACCAAATTAAGATTTTAATTAGTGCCTTTCACTCATATTCGATGATTGGTGACAGTGAGAAACATGTCATTACTGCAGATATTAGGGCAAGAATTGCATAACTTTCAGTTTGATGTCAACATTTCCAGCGATTTTTAACATTTGGTTTTCATATTTCTTCATTATTCAATCCTCACAGTATTTGTCATGGGTGAAAACCTCATTTCGGTCCAATTATGCTTTTCATCATCTGAGGTCAATGCATAAGTTGACAATATTTTTAATATTTTCATATCAATTCATAACACCATTATTCAAAGATTTTTCGCTCATTGTCATAAATCAGGCAAAATGTGTATTCTGTCACAAAAGAACAATTTCGCTTGTGATTGCGAGAAATGTTTATACTCGTTTCCAGTTCCTTATAAAGTCTACATCAATTCTATACTTCTAACTTCCCCGCCTAAACTCAGTCTATTTACTATCTTTTTCCTAGATAGGAATAGATAGATTCGCTTATCGTCCGGTTTGTACACCTCCCCGGGTTTTTGAACAGGTACGATATTGCGGCTATTGCTTTGGTAGACGCGTCGGAAAAAAAACGAAGTTCTTTACGCACTGATAGATGTTAACGAGGCTGATTTTAAAACACTTACTTTCCATAAAGGTCGCCATTACAAATCTGAGTGCATTGGGAAACCACTTTAGCTGCTATTGGGGAGTTCTCCTCCCCACCATAGTCGCTGGTGACTTTAGTGTTCATGGTCCATGGCGGTGGTTCCGGGTGGAGAGCAGTGTTGGGATCCTCAGTGTTTCACTCGTCGCATCTGATGTTTACTCTGCAGAATCTTGATCTGTGTTGTAGGTGAACAACATTTGAAGCCCTTCACAAATGTCTCTCGCTCCTTCAGCGATTTCACTCGAAATACACGACATTTCTATAAGGGATGAGCTTTCTTGTGCAAGGGGAAATATCAGTAGGGCCCTTATCCTTCCTGTTTTGCCAGTGTGTATGGTCGGGTACTGTGGAAGATATTTCTGTTTATTCACCGATATGACTCCCTGTCTATTGTCGTTTGAGGACAGCCTGCCTGATGGTGTATCTGAAACTTGGATCGTTTCTAATCCTTGCTTGTTTCGTGACAAAGTCCACGAGAATGAAATGGGGGGGAGAAGAAGGGAACTTGATGCCGGTCATCATATTTCGAGCAGACGGATTACCCCTTCTCTTGAAGTGGGAGGGTTAGCTTGGCTACCAAGGCGTGAAGTACCCGTACTGTATCCATGTAGGCGAGGCCTGAGAGATCCCCATCTTCCTTATCGGACATAATCTCCTGGTCGTCATATTCCCTTAGCCTCGGGAAATTCCTGCTCGACAGTTTGGGGAAGCCTTCCAGTCGGTTAAAGAGAGCTTCTATAACTTCCGGGGAAACGTAGCACTCTTTAAACGGATTTCATATTCTTTCAAAACTCTTTTCTAAGTTGTTTACATTGAAAAACTGATAATGGACACATTGATGTAGACATTCTCCGGTGAATAAATCTCGCCTCCGCTTCCTTCAGATGTTTCCGCTTACGGGTCTTCTCTAATAACAACCTCCGACTCGCCACCAAAGCCACTGTCAACCGAGCTGTTGTTTCAACACTGCTTGAGACATTTTACATCCGCTGCCTTCAGTGAGTCTTGCGCATTACTTGAAGGGATAACCCCACCACATCAAGGTTCTTCAACGTGCAGAGGTCGTCAGCATTGAGGCCATCATCCGACAACGCCTTCTACGTTGGGTTGGGCATCTTGTGCAGATGTTGGGCAGTCGCCTGCCAAAAATTGTATTCTACGGAAAGCTTGAGACTGGCAGCCGCCCACGTGGAGGCCCAAAGAAACGGTTTCGGGACTACCTTAAGCGTGCTCTTGTCTCCTGCAACAGTGACCCAACACAATTGGACAACCTCGCAAGGAAGCGGATCGGCTGGCGGTCTCTCTGTATCACCGAACTGGCGCGCTTCGAGGAGGAGAGACGAGCAGCGCTCGAGGGAAGACGACGCTAGCGTCATCTGCAGCCTGCCAATTCCGCAGCCGGAATGTTTCCCTGCCACCTGTGCCCGAGAACTTGTCGTTCGCTGATCGGTTTGCTATCTCATTTGGCAGCCCACAGAAGACGGACGGAGATGGATGGACAGCGTCGTCGTCAGCAATGACTGACAACCTAAGAGAGAAGAAAATAGAGACATTAAAATACCTCACTGGTTTATATTTCTGACTCTTTACTGAGCAATTTTATAAGATCCAATTGCTATTTGTGCGTATGGCCAATATCTCTCGTGGAACTCTGGAAAGAATGCTTCCACGCTCGGTAATCCTATGTCTGGGTAGGTAATCCGCTGGTGATGAGCTCGCATCGCGTGAAGTACCTAACGAGATCTGACATATAATTGGGGGCGTCCTGCCTGGCATTTCAAGGATAGAATTTATCATGGTTTGGTACCTCTGACGTATGAATTGGGTGAGTAATAACTGATAACCGGAGGCGTGTTGTCGAGTTTGCCTGAGTTCCTTAGTCCGAGGGAAGAAGATTGATCCTCGTGTTTGAGCTGTCTCTCTAAATCGATCTCTCTATCATAAAGCGACACGAGATCGATGACTATTACCTTGCGATGATGTGTTTGATCAGCCAGTATTCCTTTATGTGTGGGCCGGTGTCATGGCTGGCTAGCATTGAGTCGGATATCGGGTGGTCGTTTTTGAGCCTTTCATTTATGTTGTCGGGGTCTGCATTGAGAATTTCGGCTTCGGCAATGACCGTTTCCTTTTTCAGTTCAGCCTTCCTCGCTTCCATTTTTGTTCTATATTCTTCTTCGATGGACGCAAGGCTCTCCTTGGCTGTCACAGCATTTGCTTTGACAGCAGCGGCGACAGCAGCAACCGCGACCGCTCTGGTCGAAGACCTGGAGTGGTAAGAGGTATGAGACCTCGACCGGTAGTACGAATTATCTAGTCGAAGATAGAGAGATGTGTAGCTGGTAGGAATGATGAGATATAAATACCTTCACTATTTACATTATTCGGACTATTGTCCTCGTGCCAGTTTCTGGTAGGATATTTCAATTTGTCTCCATATTTTCGGTACATCGGGTCCGTACCGATCCTTCAGTATCTGTCTATATTTCTGAGATGAGGTGTTATGTAAACTATTTACATTATTCGGACTATTGTCCTCATCTTTGTCGCCATATTTATCATGTTTCAGCCTTTCGGTATCTGTTTATATTTCTGAGATGAGGTATTATGTAAACTATTTACATTATTCGGACTGTTGTCCTCATCTTTGTCGCCATATTTATCACGTTTCGGCTTTTCAGTATCTGTTTTTATTTCTGAGATGAGGTATTATGTACACTATTTACATTATGCGGACTATAGCTTCGTTAAACAAAATGAAGGAATAATTTTTTTTTTTATAAGTTGTATTCGTAATTCGGGTTGAATGTTTATTCCCTTTTTCTGTAAAGCCGTTATCCTTTTAAGAATTGTACGCCGTCATAGTTGTCCGTTTTTACAGTGACGTTGGCAGGGTTCGTAGTGCTCTAGTAGTTGGCGTTGACTGAGTAAATCCGATAGTTATGAGGACATCGTTTTACTGTATTGTTTCCAAACTTGCGCTCATTTTGGGAAATGCGTGCATTTCCTTAAAAGTCAGCTAAACGTCTTTCAGCAATTAAAACTTTAAACAACGTTAGCGTTAATCTACAGATTTATTAACTACCAAAAAGGGTAAAACGACGATGCTCAGGATATCGGTGATATTAGAGGGATTGAATGCTGCATCAGTTATTGTCCTTTCGCTAGAAACGTGTCCAAGCCGGAAGTGGTCGGACGGAGGCGAATCAAAAAGCGATTCTTAAAAGTCACTAAGAGAGATAATTGATGTTGACCATACTCATGTAGAATAGAACAAAAATTCTAATTCTGCCTAAAATTTGTCTACACCAATCTAAAAAGAAAAGATAATGATTGATAAGAACTTATGGGGACAAAAGTAAGGACACTATATTGCCCCTCTATAAATCTCTAGTCCGTTTTCATCTACAGATTATGCTGTCCAAGCATAACGACCCTATCTTTGGATAAATATTTTTCATGACAATTTAGTTTTGATGTAATTAGAAAATAATTTTTTTATAAATTTATTTTAAGTTAGCCTTTTTGTAATAATTTGGTTATTGCGTCTCGGCTTCACTCATTTTCCACTGCTGTAATGTACGTTTTTCTATAAATACTTTCATGGTAATTATTCAGAAAAAACTTTTTGCTATGGTCCCTAGACTGGATGAACATAAGCACAGTACTAGATTAACGACAAGGTATCATCAATTTACAGTTGAATTTGCTAGATGTAACATTAAGTTCTATGCTAACAGCTTTTTCTCGCACTTATCGCTTGTGAAACGCTGTTGCGACCAACTTTGGTCTCGAAAAATTTAAATGCAATGTCAGTCGTTATCTACTGTCTTGATTATTCTTCTATTGTTTGTGCTCCTTAATGTTTCTCTTTTTTTCTTATTCTTACACGCCCAGTAGCCTCGTTGTGTCTTAGTGGCTTTATTGCCTTGCATGGTGTGAAGTGATTTTTTTTTATATTATAATTAAAAAAATAAATAAGGCGAGGATTTTTTGGAATTATTACCATATGATTCTATTAATCATTTAACAAGACACAGCGTCTGCTGGATTAGGTACACAGAATGAGAAATGGGGGGGGGGTCGAGTTCTAATTGTGGCCGAATTCGTTACGCTCACTTTTGCCACAGTACCCTTAGAAAGATATGAATCTCTCCACCCATCTCGATTTCACGTCTGGAGGTGGCAACCAGTCAAGACGAAATGCTCCAAATTCAAAAGTAGTTTGAAGAGGCCGTCTTACCATAGGCAGGCCATTGCTGTTATAGCTGCAGTACATGCGATGTTTGTACGGTCTTAATAGGATAACGGGCTTGTGACGTAACGAATAGTGTAAAGCAATTAAGACGTGCTTCCACGCTCCTCAAAACCTCCTGATCAGAGGCCATGCTGCTGGACTTAGTTTCTCGTCTTACCCAGAACGCGGATGTAGTTTGTCGTCATACCCAGGACGGGGTGAGTTTGGCTGTATTCCAACTCTTCGACTATCAGCCTCCGACTAGTATTACGTTTAGATTGAAGCCACTGGAATATTTTGATGCTTTGTTTTTAGTATGTTTTCTCAGTCGCCAAAATGCGTATTTTTTATCATGGATTGACTTTTGTTTGTTTTTGAAAGAAAGAAATTATAGAGCCATCAGCTTTCGAGTTAGTCAGTGGAAAAATGGATTCTTCTCCTCTCTTCTCCATTCAATGAAGAACTTGATGCTGTCGCTTGACGGCATTTGCATAACTCGTAGCTATGACTGAAGAAATTATGCCGGACACTGGATCTGCACAACTGTCATCCTGAATTTCCACCTAGGACATTACTGAACTTACCTCTTCCTTTGACTTTCTGAACTAAGTTTCCTGAAGCTGACTCCCAACCCATCACCGTCATCTTTCGCCTGCCATGGAACCCAATTGTAAGTGTGCGCATGCGTGCCTTCCTTTATCTGTTCGTAGGCAATCACGCTCTCAATTTGACTTGTGTGTGACAAGTGTCACGTGATGTTTCGTGTAAGAAAATGGCATCTGGGTTTTATTTTATTTTTAGGCGTCTTTCGAAGATTATCTTCCAATTTGGTAAAGCATAAGAAAACGAAGCAGAATTTATTTTTCTTTCTTTCTTTCCATCTTTCTCGGTAGACATTGTTCTGCATTTAAAAATAAAATGAAAAAAAAACGATAGAATCATAGACGCCTCTCTTGTGAGAATTCACGATAATTCTGCAGATTTATATTGTATATTTGTGACACTTTGTTATCGTATCTTGTCACCAGCTATTGTCACATTTTCTCTTCCTGCCTGTCCCATCACCTGCGGTTTTGGTTCGAGAAATGCGGAGAAAAAGAAAATTGAGTTGAGAAGTAAATAAAGGAAATAAAAATTTTTGAGTACTTTGATTTGGAAATCTAGCCGCAAGCGATGGCGGCGACACAGGAGCTTCTATCGTTGCTGACGTCATCAACATCAAAGATGGCGGACAGCAATAAAGCGAGATGGAAGCGAAAGAGGAGATAAAAACGCTTATTTCCTGCCTGTCTTGCTGTAAAATCTTCGATGGACGATTTGCTTTAAGGTAACAGAAAAGATTTTCTCTAGCGGCGCAATTAAATCCCAGTCAACAACCTGGGTCGTTATTCAGTAATATATATATATATATATATATATATATATATATATATATATATATATAATATATATATATGTGTGTGTGTGTGGAAATGTCGATGTTAGTTATAGAATAAATTTAGATTGTCCCGGCGTAAGGTTTTAAGTGTTGTTGGGCACTTAATAAAATCTAAAAATTGCAAATTATTCTAACTAGTGTCCCAAGGTAATGCACTTCAACTGTATTTTAATGTTTAGTAAGGCACAAGGCCTTATCTGAATAGAAAGATTATATTATATCAATCTTCTGAGTGTTGTGGGCCTACCTACTTTGAAAATCAGCATTCGCAATATTATCTTTTTATGTTGGGCCTGACGCCAGAAATACACAACTATCTTACTCACAAAATAGGCTACCTATTTCCGAAGTTTAAGTTAATATATCGTACATGATTGCAAGTTTTACAGGAATCCAATAAAGACAGAACTCGTTGAAGAATAAACAATCTTTGTCACCCCCTACTCTATGGTGAAGTTTCCTGTATGTTGTATATTGTAGACTTGCAAAGGAAGCTCATTTTTCTATTGCTAGTCGTTATCTCTTCCATCGCTCTAAAGGAAATATAAAAATATCGAGGAATAAATTGGAAAAAGGTAATTCTCCTATGCAGATTATTGGATCTTACAAGTAAAGAAATAGTACTACTATAATGTAGGTACCGTCACAGAAAACGCGATACCTAAGGTTTAAAATTATTTTTTTAGGTACCTACTACAATGTTAACTATTTTTATTTTACTTTAATATTTTTTTTCTCTTTTTAAACGTATTTAAAGTTCAACCTGATTCTAAAAGAGAACAATGAATAAATGTGTAAAAACCAACTATGAAGATTTGTGTGCTTCGTCAGATCACAGACTGGTGCCACAGAAACACGAACACAGAAGTTTACCAAAGTAGTTTTTTACAATACGTTAATGTTTGTTAAAAGCTTCACAGTATATACTATTGTTGAAGTTATCGCTAACATTTTTTCTCGATCCACAAAAACTCGATCTCGTTCAATTTCAAAAACCAATCGAAGAAATCTGAATAAGCTGCTTTGTTTGGAAAATACTTTGGCAAAACCTCTACTTCGCGGTTTTATAAATTTTTAATTTAATTTAATTTTATGTGAGTTCATGGTAGAAAATAATTTTTAAGAAAATTCATTTTTTTTCCTTTTTAACATCGAAGAATAAATTATTAGGATTTTTTACTCTTGAGCAACATAATTTAGATTCTGAGTGCTTTACAATAACTCTCCAGTAGATGAAGCTAAGCTTACTCATTAGAAAAAGACTCAGAAATGCGGTAAACATTTCCAAACTGAATATTTGACTAACCTTTTAGTCCATATAAAAGACAGTAATGTAGACTCCTCTATGGTTGTCATGCATAGCGCTCAGAAATATAAAATCTGTCAGCTATATGGCACCGTATGATTAAAATATCTTCAAGAGAATCAATGCTCTATGTGTCAAGGTCTAAAATAGACAATGCTTCATCAGATCACATAGACTGGTGCCACATATTTTTGTTTTACAATACGTTGATGTTTGTTAATATCTTCACAGTGCATACTATTGTTGAAGTTATCGCTAACACTTTTTTTTTGTCCAGATTTACAAACTTTACGTTTCGTTCAATTTCGCAAACCAATCGATGAAACTTGAAACTAACGTTGATGGAAAATACAGGAGGCAAATTGAAAGAACTATTTGACAATTGAGGAAAGCAAGAAGAAAAGACAAAATATTAATTCTAAGATGGAATATTAAGGTTGTGAATAAAAGTGATAAGCTAAGATAAGTTATGCACTTTGGACATCGAAATCAAGCAAGAAACAAAAAATATCTAAATGAGTTCTAAATTGAAATCTACAATTTTCAGGGAAGCAGAGAAAAGTTCATTTAAAGATCAGGTGCTGGAACTGACAAAAATTCTCTAGAAATTGCCATCTAGAATTGAAACTTTCATTCTTGTCGCAGTACATACATACACACACATCTATCTATCTATATATATATATATACTAATGAGCAAGGCAAACCTACCTAGATTTCACCTAAACGGATCTTCAGGGTTTACACTGAAGATCCGTTTAGGTTAAACCTACGTAGGTTTGCCTTGCTCCTTAGGATTATTCTAGTTTATCGCTCTACTTAGCGTATTGAGCACTCTACGTTTAGTCTTTCTACTTGTTTTTCTTTGGACTAAGGACTTAAAACACTTGGCTATTTGTTTCGTCTTGTTCTGATGTTTTTTAGTTCTTTCTTTTTATTTCTCATTTTTTTCCTCGGGTACGGAATTGTCCTGACATATCTGCAAGTTGTGCTATCAGAGGTTTTCCAAACGAGTACTACTAATATATATATATATATATATATATATATATATATATATATATATATATATATATATATATATATATATAGAATAAATCCTAAGGAGCCAAAACCCTGAAGATCCGTTTAGGTGAAACCTAGGTAGGTTTGGCTGGCTCCTTAGGATTTATTCTAGTTCATCGCTCTACTTAGCCTATTGAGCACTCTACGTTTTACTCTTTCTACTCGTTTAAGGTTTTTTTTTTTCTTTGGACTAAGAAATTAAAGCATTTGGCAATTTGTTTATTAGTCTTAATGTATGAAAAGTTTAAAAACAGTTACGGGACAAATGTTTTAAAAACTAGAACTAACAAGCAAACGTTCTTATTTTCTATATGAACGAAAAAGAACTTCCGGTGATTAGAAAAATATATGACAATTAAGCAGATAACTGAGGCATGGGTTTTTTAACCTAAAATTGTTTTCGAAAAATCAAAATTATATTATCTGTGGCCAGGTATTAAGTAATCATTACTGACAGAAAGGGCTTTATTGTGTATAATGTAAATGCATTTCTAATGACTTTAAGATCCAAAATTGTTGAAATTCAGGAAGAATTGGATTATCAATGGTCAGGAATTAAAGGAAACAAAATTACTAACAATGTTATTTATTTATACATAAGAAATGTCTTGTAATGCTCTTTGCATTTTTGTGTAATTTAACAAATTATATATTGAATCATTCATACAAAAAGTAGATTAGTAAGGTTAATGATATAAAATGGCGAAATCCTTTCGCAAACAAAAGTTGCATTAACCTACAAATCACTCGATGAATGTTATGATCCTTGTTTTTAATAATTATAAGCTGTATAAGGTGTTTTTTTTAATACGCAAGTACTTTCAACTGTACATTCAGTCATCCTCAGACATGGAAATTATTTTGTTTTTAGTAAAATCCAGGTAGCATCCGAGACGAAAAAATTAAACGCGAATCGAAATATATTTTTTTAAAATGTGTAATTGTTAACGGATACAAACTTTTGGAGCGTGCAGTCGCAACGCTAGGGTGGAATTTTTTGAAAATTCAAGAGAGTGATTTTTTTTTACTAATATGGCAATTTGAGAATTTTTTTTTTTTTTTTTTGTAGGAGTTTATCAGTCAATGTGACATGAACTAATTTGTTCAATAGAGTAATTGTCTCAGCTGTTATCCCGAAAATGTTCACGTCGGATCAGTTCTTTTAAATCAAATATGTGGTGCAGTTATATAATCTGATTGCTGGCCACTCGTATTCGAGGATACCCTTCTACTAGGGCGACTAACCAATCTTTACTGCAGACGCTCGTTCAGGCATATATATATAAAATTTAATTTCTAATAAAAATAATTGAAATACTATTTAATTCAATATTTGATGCTACATTAGTGCTATTTAAGTATACATAGGTTTGTATTTGTAAAGCACGAAGCAAGTGGTATTAGGAATATGAGAGCCTGTCTGCTTTTATCTGAAATTGAACACCGACCTCAGGCGCTGCTAGAAAATGCACAACTAGCTTCTAAGGAAGAGACCTCTTACATTAATTTCTCTAATTTCAAGATCTGTCAATGATCGAACTTACAACCCTAACGTATATTTACTTGGGCATGTGCTGATATCGGCGCGGAAAGTGGAATCAGCGAGACGAGTTCAAATTCCTGGTTAGTCTGTTGCATTTACTTTCGCACATGATCTTGGGAAGGGAATGAATTAGTTCCTTCTCTCACCCACTCCCAGATATAGGTTAAACTGCAGAGTAGACTTGAATGGCAACCATTCTATGAGGAAGAAAACAATTCCAAACTGTGGAGACCGCAATGGAAAACTATACTATCTCTCTTAATAATACATGGTAATTCCCAGATAATAAAGAAAAAGAAGCTGTGGAGAGCCATTATTGCCAATCTTCTGAATGCGCATGACATTAAAAAAAAAAAAAAAGAAACTTGAGTGTCATAATTGCTAACGTCCTAAATGAACATGGTATTAAAAAAAACAGTCGTGTACAAGGTAGCTATTGTGAAATATCCGTGAAGATCGAACCCCAAAACACAATTAACTTAATCCGTAAAACGACCTTAGTCGTAGTCGCTTCTGCAGTGTCGACTTATACACGAATACTTGCGGCGTGTCGTGAAGTGCTTCTCAGCGATCTGAAACTGTCACTGCTAGTCGGGTAATGGCAAAACAGAGATTGTCCTTCTTTTCAACCTGGCTTCAATAAATCAAAACAAATCAACTTTCCTGAAAACAATTGACAATGCGCCTGTTGTTCACCGAGCGCCCGAACCCAACTTTTCCGTTGTTATAAATAGTATTGTGCCAATTCTTAATTGGTTTGTCCTGACATTCAAGCCATTTGGTTAAAAGCGACGTTTTCAAAGTGACCCCGTCCGGGCAAAATGTAGAAGCGGCTTACTTTTTTTTTTGCGGGTCAATATTACGATA